GTGTCCAGATAAAGACAAGTGTTTGTCTGTGAATGCTGCGAGTTATAGTGAAGCTGATTTGTGTACTTGTGTAAATTGTCTCTATTAAGCCATGTTTAATGTGTGTTTAATGTGTGTTTTGAATCAATTAAACTTTACAGCACTTCACAGAAACCCCACTGCCAACTAGTGTTTAGGAGGTGTAACTGCAGAGTGACACAGACACACCACCACACAAGTAAAAATGCTCACAATGGTGTAGGCTACGTGCTTAGGGTCTATGCACAACCATAAATCCCTTTTTAGTCGCCATCGGTGCAGGCTCAGTGCCGGAGGGTTTTATAACTCACTTCCACTCCCCACTAGTTGGTTTGAGATGGCACTATATTGTAGACCCTGTAAATGTTAAGAAACTCCAGTTGTTGGTATGACAAATGTGACGCTGAGAAATTAGTCCCATCAACTTTATTCTTGGGAGGGGGGGTCATGTTCTAAATATTGAGGAGCACATGCCCATTGCACCCAATAGCGTCTACAACATTTGAAATGTTCTTAGTTACTTTCCACCACTGCTGATGAGAGTGAAAGCAACTGAGCATGTTGAGATGTTGGGGGGCAAGAAATAAAAAACCAACAGACAGAACAAAAGTATTCACTGTATAGTCTGTGTGCGATGGAAGAAGTGTCAGCAGAGTCTCCACATTCTATTCTCAGCTTTTCTGTCATCACAAGAAAATACAAACGTGGCAAATCCTCTCGTTCTGCGAATGAACTCTGGCTCCACGAGTACTAACAGTGAGGTGTGACTGGTGGTGAGCTTCATGCACTAATAGGCCTCACCAGCTGACCACATTCCACAGCTGTGTGGCTCAAGGTCCACACACACACACACACACACACACACACACACACATTCATGCCGCCCTTGTCTCTGCTCAGGCGGGAACACCTCCATAAGATAATTCAGGGGATTCAGTGCGTTAAAGTCTCAAATACCTTCAAAGTGTTTCCACTATATGAAAAAGGCTCATTTGGGATTTACGACATGTGTTTCTTCAGGACACGTTCTCGCCTTCATCTCAGCTCTGTGGGATAAAAGTCTATTATTTCAAATAACGGGAAATTTATTTCTGCAGGACTTTGATTTTACACTTTAATATGTTTTGTATGACGGTGTTTAAGAGCAGCGCTGGATGTAACTCAATACATTTACTCAAGTATGTAGTATTTCCATTTAATATAACTTTACACTCCTGGTGCCATGCCGTTGTTTTCTCTGAAAATACACACTCCCTGCAGTAAGTTTCAGTTGACCAGCAGCGTTTGAGTCATGACTCCCGGGTGTTGTTATTGACCTTTGCTGATGTTTCCCAGGAACATTTGAGCAGACATACCTGGGTGTTTTTTAAGTGACCCATCCCTGCTTTTCAAGCAGCTTTTTTGCCACTAAATTCAGGCATTTTAAACCAAAACATGATATTTTCCTAACTGTAACCAAGTGGTTTTTGTGCTTAACTTAACACAGGTTCACCACGGTGTTGTCAAGAAAGTTTTAACATATTCACTACAAAATGATATACATTTTTTTTGTGGCGATTGGGCCGTCTGTCTGCAGGAAGTGTGTATTTTCAGAGAAATGAGACTTCGGAACAATGTGCATTTTTGGGGGGGATAAGGGGCTGATGGAGAATAATAATAAATAATAATAAATTTTATTTGTATTGCACTTTACATTTTAGCAATGGGCTTTTGGTGCAATGAGACATTTTTCGGACAAACAGGGCTTCAGAATTTTGGCAAGCAGCCCCCTGACTCCCAACCCAGTCGCCAGAAAAAATTGTTGGCATTGTACGTTTCTGCAAATCACAGATATATTACATTTACACATTATTATTATGTAGTGAATACGATAAAACTAGCGTTAATGTGTGGTTAAGTTTAGGCACAAAAACCACTTGGTTGTGGTTTGGAAAAGATGATGTTTTGGCTTAAAATACATAGTTTTGGAGGCACAATCCGCAATGCTTCTTTAAAAAAACAATTCCTTTTCGTGGCACCATCCCCGGTGGAAACACAGCAACAGGTCCCTAAAATACACCCAGGTTTGGTGCCGAAAAAGCTGGGGGGAAGCAGCACTTTCCTGCTAAGTCACAACCAGTGTGGTTGTTTGCTGGTGTTGAACAGTGTTGTGCAGCTCTGCAGGCGTCGCTTATATCCACCATCCCCTCCACCTCATGATGACACGTTCAGCTCATATACTCGTCACCTTAGAAATGTTGATATGACATGTATGAAACATGCAAATGTAACGTAGTCTTTGTTTGCAGAAATGAACATTCTGGCAACTGTGGCACTGGTACTTTCACTTAAGCAAAAGATGTGAATATCTCTTCCAGCTCTGTGATACTGAAGGTCAGCCTCACACACAAATGTGTGTGCCTTCTAAACACATATGTGGAGGTATGTTTATTCTTTTTTTTTAATCAAACCACTGAAGCTTTTCAATAGCCTCGCCACACTCTCTCCACCCACTCCCTCACAGCTGCAGAAGTTGTTCAACTGCCTGATTGAGAGTTGTATCAGAGCGCCTGCTCCTTATCACACAAGCAGGCTTTAAGTGTCTGTATCCTCCCTGCTGATGTGTCCTTGAGCCCGACACTAGATCCCTGCCAGCTCCAGGGGGAGCTGCCGTCTCTCTGACCCTGACCTCTGACCTCTCTGGAAGAGGCCCAACAGAGGAAAAAGGCAATTTTGCCACAGTGATTAATAATATATCACACTTTTATTACAGGGCCTACCAATCTTTACTGGTCCGCCTGTCACTCTGAACCAACTGGACAATAAGGAGAGGTCAGAGGTCAGGTGTGCACCTCAGACATCTGAATCCACAAGAAAGCCTCACAGCGAATTAGAAGAATTTGGCTTTGTGTATTTCTTTAAAGCCACGTCCTTGAAAACTAGAAGCTTTCTGTGACTCTGAACATGAACGCATTTTGAAGATTTGTTGATAAATGTAGTTTACAGTTGGAGAAGGAGCCAACAGTGTTCCTAACAAGATGGCTGCATGGCCGCTCCTCCCAAACATGACACAGCTCTGCACTTGCCTTTGGACAACACCTCCCATTCCCACCAACACACCAGTCCTTATTCACTGTAAAGCACAGACCTCCCCTCCTCCTCTCCTTCTCTCCCAGAGTCCTCTGCTCTGTCAGATAGACATATGGAAGAACTCACCTGGTTGATGCTGTTTTCCAGGATTTAGCCAAGTTTCAGTGAATCAAAGGATCTTACAGTTCCTGATATCCCGTTGGAAGCTGATGCAGCATGGAGGCCGTCCAGTTTCCAGCACCTGTGCAATGGTTCAGGCCGCTTGTTCAGCTGGTGCCCATCTTGTCCGTCTTTTCCTCAATGTTTACTGATGTGTAGGCTAATTTGAAAACCTCGACCCTGGCTAACTAGCAGCTAGTTCGCCAGGGTCGAGGTTCAGCAGCTAGCAATGCCAACCACAAAAAGCAGCACCAACACTTGCAAAATAGGCATAAGAGCCTAAATTTAGCAGAGCTGACGAGAGAGGCGACTGGGAGCGTGCATGCATATGTCATATGTATCAGTTTTTTTATGCACTCTGGCACCTTATTTACACTTAAGTACAAGAAAATTAAATTGATACAACTGAAAATTACCAGACAAATGCCCAAAATGTAGGAAAACAGACGAACCTTGTTTGACTGTATTCGGCAATGTAGAAAGTTGGGCTGCCCAGCTATCCAGAGAAACATAACCATAGTAAAAATGAACAAGTATTTATAGACCTCAGCTTTACACCAAAAAATGTGTTGCACTTTATGGAGAAACACTCACAGACGGAGCACTTCTCAGTGGATGAGACAGATGTTAAAATGGATAATTTACATATTACAGTGTCATCAACATACATCTGAGAATATATGAGTCTCTTTTTTCCTGTGGACAGTTTCTGAGCTTGTTTATTTTTTCTTGTCTTACAAATACTGGTTACATTTTGTATTTAATATATTTAATATACTTCATTTTTTATCAATTACCATTTATTAACATAGAAGAAGCTTTTTTGTTAGTTTGTGGTTTTGTTTTTTGAACCCCTTTTTGCTCTCTTTCTTGGTTCTGTATTAAGGCAGCAGTTTTATGTCACGTTAGGTATCATATGAATCTAAAACTCTGTATATTATGGTAGGAAATTTAAATAAAAATATTGTGGACAAAAAAAGTACAAAGAAATCCAAATGTAAATGGTGGTGTAAGTTGAGTACCATACTGTATATTCTCTATGTTTTTAATAGTGTGTGTTATTTTAATTGTGTACAGATTTGCTGTACCTTAAGACCCAGCCAATGTTGGTATGTGAGGCCCATGTGGGTAGTAAATGGGCTGAAAAATTGACCCTATATGGGACTTTTCACAGGTTCCATTTTGGCCCCATGCCCATTGCCCATACGGCTGGGTTTGCCCAAACAGGCTCCACGTGGGTCACTCTGGGGCCTCCTGAGTACTGAGTGGGTATGGGTTTGAAATGGGCATCTTATCTGAGGCCAACTTGGGTAAATCTATCCATGTGGGCAAATGCCATGGGGCCAGAAGGGAGCCTGTGGACAGTCCCATATAGGGCGCATTTTTCAGCCCATTTGCAACCCACATGGGCCCCACATGTTAGTCGGGGAGAAGCCAAACACAGATTTCCAACGTGAATCTGAATTTGTTTCTCATCATTTTTAAGACATAGTATTAAAAATAGAAACTCTGGTAAAAATTAAAATCAAACAGTATCCATTAGCTGCTCCTGTTCCCTGGGGTTTTTATTGTACCTGGGCTCTCCTCCAGTTCTCCCAGTGCTCCCAGTGCCTGGTACATTGTCTGTAAAAGCGATAAGGAGGCTCTGGACTCGACCCTGCACCAATCAGCGCCTCCAAATCTCCCAGCGGCGCGGCGCATTGGCTGCCCCGCGCGTCACTCCTGATCTCGGGCGGCATGTGGGAGGAGCCCGGTGGAAACATGACGGGAGGGGTGGCGGGTTAGAGGCGGTGCGACTGTCAATTGTGTTCCCTATTCTCGTCAAAAGTCGGCTGTTGTTGCTGTTGAGTCAAACCAAGACGGTCCTGGACGCTGTGTTGAGTCAGAGCAGTGCGCTCCACGCTGACACGTGAACGCGTCTTCTCTTTTCTCGCCGCAAACGGAAGCGCAACTTCGCTCCTTTTTTGCACTTTGACATCGCAGTGTTTTGGGGGAGAGGAGGAGGAGGAGTAGGGTTTCGTGTCGCCTCGGAGCCAAACGCTGGATTGTTGTCAAACATTTCTTCACATCAACACCTCGTCTCGCTTTCGCCGTTTCTCGTCACGCACTGAGGCTTTGTGCGTTTTTCTGGTGCACAGAAAGGGGGTGTCTTCACCGCCTCGAGGCAAAGCGGCAAGACTGGGCACGGTGAAGACTTGTTGCGCGCATCCGGGGAGCGCACCAGTCCAGTTTTCATCCAAGTCCATGTACAGTACCTGTGTGTGATGCTTTGATTTGAGCTGCGGGTCTGTGAGTGGAGCATGGACTGTGGAGATGAGCTCAGCCTGAAGTCAGCACGGTTCGCTGCTCTGTGACTATGACAATCTGCCCATAATTAACCAAACTGAACTGATTAGTTTGCTCCGGTGTGTGTGTGTGTGTGTGTGTGAGTGAGAGAGAGAGCTGCTGCCGAGCGGCTGATGCTTCAGGAAAAACCATTTCTCCATTAAATGGCATCCACGCGCAGCAGAGTCAAACTTTATTCGGGTCAGATCCGACGACTTGATTAATTTTCGTCCCCCGGTGTTTCAAATCGAGCCCAGCCTCTCTCTACTCATCGACATGTCTGAGCGTGATGGATATGGAGACGGGCTGTACAGCGACGGAGCGCAGGACTGCATCCCGCCGAGAGCGTCCCGCGGCCGGCGGAGCGGTGTCATCCTCCCCGGTGGAGGTGGCGGCCAGGACACCGACACCATCCTCCTGGATTCGGTGAAGGCGGCACCGCGCCGGAGCAGCATCATCAAGGTAAAGAAACCTCTCATGCTCTTTCCTGCAGCTGTGTTTGCTCCATTTACTTATAAACCAGGAGAATATGATGGAAACATCAAGAGCTGTTTGTGTCCGTTGGGTCCAAGATGGCCAGATACTGGTGTCACACAGCTCCTCAGGAGACAACGCGTTTATTGTGATGCTGTGAAATGTGTCAACAAGTGAATGATCTCTGTCAGTGGGTGAAATGATCAGTAGTAGTTTTGCTTTGCTTTGTGCAGACAAGCATCAGGTCTTTAATCTTCCTGCACGGCCACAGTGCACTCCTGAGCTCCGAGGCCACACTGAGGTTTGACGCGCGTGTGACAGCAGCCACCTGTCCGTCAGTAATCCCTCATTTCGCGTCCTTTTACGCGCGTCACATGTGCGTAATTTCAAATTCCTCAATCTCCGTCTTCGTCCTCTGACTGCGTTTCAAAGTAGCCATACCACATTCTCAGATGATAGGATAGCTGAGCGAGGTGACACACAACTTCTGACTTCTGTGTCACACTAAACTGCTGCTGTATACACTCACTGTAGCATGCAGCTAGAAGCTCCCTGAGGTTTAGTTTCCCCTCTAAGAATGAGCCTTTAACATATTTATAAGGATTAAATATGATGGTAAGAAAGTCTGTATATGAACAATAGTTGTGTGGGATTATTAGAGATGCCTCACACTGTGGGTGAACTTCATCAGGGTGTACATTTGTCTTAACAATATGAGTACCCATGCTCTGGGCTGGAGGAAGGGCTCAGATCCTTTACTTAAAGGTCCAGCGTGTTGCTGCGTCCAAATGTCCACCCTGTGGACTTGTGGACTGAGTCCTCTGACTTCTGTTGTACATACTGTGATGAGTTCACTGTCATCACGTAAGGTCTGTGAGGTTAGAGACCACAAGCTGCTGACAGGGGGCCGTACACCTACGTCCCCCAATTTCATTGTTTTCCACTTAGACGCGGCAGGCGCTCAGACTATTCAGATTATTTCTGGCCTACATGTTTCAAATTCTTTAGAGTTGTAACAGGCTACAGTTACTGTTGTACACAAACACACGTTTTGTTTTTTAGTTGGCTGTTGGGAAAAAGTGTTGCAGTGAATTGTCGGCAGGTAAATCAGTGAAGTCTGCACCCCAAGCAGACTCTCTAGCAGTCTGCAGAAAGTCCACTTTAGGCCCCTTGTGACCAGATGAATTATGGATTTGGAGCCCTAAGCACGCCCAGACTTCCCGTGAACACGCCTGCAAAGTCTGTGAGTTTGCAAGTGTGGTGAGGTCTGGACATTTGGATTCAAGATTTCAGAGGATTTAGTGGCGTCTAGTGGTGAGGAGTGCAGGTTGCAACCAGCTTAAACTTCTCCCGGTAAGAATTCCTTCAGTGTTCAGGAGGTTTTTACCAGGAGCTGAATTATCCGCAGAGGTCTCCTCCTCTCCAAAACAACCTGACCTGGTGGTTTAAACCGGTAAAATACAGTAAAGCAGTTTCATGTTACAAATCAGTGTTTCTCCACTGTTTGACGTGTCTGAGGCGGCTGTTCGACCACAACATGCTATTGTTTGTTCACCCTTTTTCTCTGATAACTTGATGTGTGCTCACCTTGTTTCTGATCCACATGTTCAGGAGGTTTTTACCTGGAGCTGAATTATCCACAGACGTCTCTTCCTCTCTAAAACAAACAGATCAGGTGATTAAAAGCAGTAAAACTAAAACAACCCTAACTGACCGCAGAGATGCTCCGTCTTGAGGGAGCAGCAGAACATTACATATTGTATATTTACTACTGATGCATCAGTGTGTTAGCAGCATTTGTAGCTGGACAAGGTGGAGCTAGATTTAATTACTTAATGTACTGTTAGATATTTAAATTCCCAGTTTAAAAGTTGGGCCCCTTCAGAGGGTCACCAGATCAATCTGAGGAGTCATGAGATGATTGATTAATTTATGGAGCAGAAAAGAAGAAGAACAGCAAATATTTATATTCATATTTTGCTGTTATTTGTGAAATAATGGAGCATTTTACCGCTACGAGCCTCAGACTGTTGTTTTAATGACAAACTGGTACTTAGAAACAGTGCGCACAACTCAAAATCTCAAGATAATGTCGGGTGCACAGTTGCGATAAAGACTAAACAAACAAAACAACGGCACTCAAAGATCCATCTTCTTTTGTATTTTAATTGTGGACAGAAAACAAACATGTTTCAGCGTGAAGCCATCATCAGCGTTCATTCAGTGAGTGCCGTTATTTTGTTGTTTGGTTGTTTAAATGACGCCATCTGAGGAATTCAGAGGCGAAACATCTCTCATGGTCATCATAAAGTTGTTCCCAAATACACGCAGCTTTCTTTATAAGGGGGGCACGAGCCAAAAAGGGCGGGAAACCACAGGTTTATGAGCTCATCACATGTTGTTTTAGGTCATAAAATATCTACTGCTGACAAATAAATGTAGTGGAGTAAGAAATACAGTAATTCCCTCCAAACATGGACATATGAAGTAGCAGAGAACAGTGTAGCACTTGAGTAAATGTACTTAATTACTTTCCACCACTGCTGCAAAGACCCCTCACCTACTGACCTACTGGCCGATGTCATGGTGATGTCATGCTTTTCCACCCTCACCTGTGCTCAGGTTGCAGGTCAGCGAGCCCCTTGAAGGCACCAAGCGTAGAAGTGAGGATCATGTTAGGGGATCATTATCTTTTAATTATCCTACATCTCCGCTCCACCTCAGGTTCTGTGTCACCTGTGTCAGAAATCAGCCCGGGGAGGACGTTATAGGACGGACTCTTTATGACCTTCTCACATGTGATGCTGACATCACGCTCCGTATGTCATGTCAGCGGTAAAGTCGCAGAGGAGGCGGCGATTTCTGCCAGCCTCTGGTCCGTACTGTATCGGAGCGCCATAAGACAGAACAGCGAGCCCCATCTGGAAGATCCAGCTGAACAGAGAGTCCTTTGACTGCTGCTGGGGAGGAAGTGGATGAAAGGATGGACAGATGAGAGGAGTGATGTCAGTGACAGGCGCGATCAGCTGTGACAGACAGCTGAGATGGGTATCAATACCTCTCAGAGACCTCCCAAATATGTCAGATTATTATTAACTGGTTAAGACTGACAGTCCTCAGTGAAATGCAACGATTAGTCGATAAACCGGCAGCTATTGATAGTAGAATAATTGTTTCAGTCATTTTAAAGCAGAATATGTGAGGATATTCTGCCTGTTGATGGTTGTAAACTGAATATTTTGGGGGATTTGAGCTGCTGGTCGGATAAAATAAGCAATTTAAACAGATTATTTTGACATTTTTTGAATATTTTGCAGACAAACAATGTTTGATTTTTTTCCATACTCACCATAAGAGTATGATCACTAAAATTAGGTGGGAGAAAATTGGATATATCGATATATCGAACCTCACTGTGTTTGCACACACAGGTCTGACACACGCCTCTCTGTCGCTGAAACCTGCAGACGTCTTTGTTTAAGTGGATTTTTTTGCTGGTACCAGTCTAAATAAAGGGAAAAGGCGAGGTGAGCTCCCGCACGACTCACGTTACTACGACAACACACATTCACATGTGTCCAAGACGGCCACACATACCATGTTACCGTCTGCACACACACACACCCCCCTGTTTGTTCAGCTCACCCCATCAAAACACACACACACATGCAAGCAATTAAGTCCTTGTTCTGTCTGCAAGCTCTGAAGCTGTTGCATGGATGCAGTAATTACATCCTCAGCTCAAGAGCCTGTGTGTAGGTAATGGTGATCATCATCATCATCATCATCATCATCATCATCAGCAGCAGCAGCAGCAGCAGCAGCAGCAGCAGCAGCAGCAGCAGTGAGACTCTCGGCCTGTTTTTATTCTTTGTTATTGATGTTTACGTGGAGTGAAATATGTTAACTAACTATTCCAGATGTTTCGAGCATCATTTCCTGACATATTTGATCTTTGGAAACTTTGAGATCTTCACATCTTCATATGGTTTAACTGATGAACGTGTAGTTTCTGTACCTGCACACACACATTCCTGTCGTATCTGAAGCAGAAGTTTGCGAAAATAGAGAAGATTGGTTTAGCTCAGATCTGATGGATCATAGATGTGAAATCCTCGCGTTTCTAAAGTTGGTGACAGAGCTGCAACAATCGATCGATCAGTCCATTGACAGAAAATGTACCTGCAATTAATAGTTTCATAATTGATTGTCATTTTTTCAAGCAAACATTTTCTGTTTCCAGCTTCTATAATGTGATACTTTGCTGCATTTTTAGAGAGTTTAATAGACAGAACAAGCAAATTGAAGATGTAACTGTGGCATCTGAGAAACTTTGGACGTCATTTATATCTCCGCCAGCTGTAAGCATGAAGGAGATTATGCATTTGGTGATGTGTGTTCGAGCATGTGTTTCTGTCTCACAAACTACTGGACCAGTCAGCCTCATATTTTGTGTGCACATTTATGACCATATGCTCAATGACCTCTCATGGCTGTTGTGATTCACAATCATTGGAAAACCTGTTTTATTGATGTTTTATACGCCACTGACAGCTGACTCCTCTCAACTGGCCGGCAAAGGCTGCAAGTTTTCTGGACATCGTCTCTGCTACAAACACCAAGCCTTAGTGCCACATTTTGGCCTTCATTGTGGCTCAGAAACTGACATCCATCGAAAAGTTTGGGCTCGTTTAGAACCAAAGCATTTGCAAATTATTCCATATTCTTAATATGTTATGATTAGGGTTGCAGTGATACACCATATACTGTGATATAGAAGTTGATGGTTATCATATCGTGTACATTTGCTAATCTAACATATTGAATAAAAATGCAACTGGATGGAGAATCTTTCCTTTATTCAAGTTATTTTCTAAGGGGTTTTACACAAACTTCCATTAACAAAATGGTTTCAGGTTACAATTATAGTAATAAAACATTTGCACAACCAACAAGAACCCTTCTGTTTTTATCCCTTTAAGGCTCAC